CAAGTGAGCGAGTCGGAGTTCTTGGCGTTTGGCGAACTCATATCAATAATCAGCGGTATCTAAAGCCAATCTCAGCTCCTCCTTGATGGAGCTCAAGGCTGTTGGGATTGCGACATTTTTAATGACCGTTGGGGCCGTAACAGTTATGTGGAGTGTAAAGAGCGCGCTTGGGGTTAACGACGTATGCGACAGTCATCTCTTCTAGCTATCAATTATCTCCTCACTAATGTAATGCAGGCACAAGAGTTTGGCAAAAGGATGTGAATGCCATTCTGGTCCGCGCTTCCGAAAGACTTATTGTCAAGCATCTACCGACCAGCCGCAACTGACGAAGATTACCTTGATGCTTATGAAGTTGCGCCATTCGAGGCGGAGGGTTGGACGTGGGTGGAGGCTGAGAAGAGGCTTATGATGAGGGTGGGTTTCCGTCGTGGGCTCAGATTGCTATGCGGGAGACTGAGGCTGAGGCAAGGGTAGAAAGAGTTAGACAGCAGAGGGAGATGGATGAGAAATGTGGTAGCCTTGCGTTGATTATCGATGTGCTGGCTTCCTTCTAATGCAAAATCGTGTGCAGGAACCGCTTTTCTAAATTTATTTGCAGGGCTTCAACTCTTCCCCTTGCTCGTCTCCATTTTCCGCAGTGGGTATTTGTCCTTGCCTCCTTGTGCACTTTGAGAAGGATTATCAGAGCAGCCGACGAACTGTGAGTTTTTCTCTTTCCGCAGCTGGCACGTTACACAACCAAGGCCCAAGTGCGATATACGGCGAATGCCAAGGAATCTCCCTCCGCCCTGTAACATTTTGTATCGAATGCCAAAAAGGAGTCTCCCTCCGCCCTCATGGTTTCGTATCCCCGATTTCGGATCACAGCTCCTGTGCTCTTCTTTTCCAGTTCGCTCCTACTTATGTCGAATGATTTAACGGGATCTCCCGGATCTCGTCCGCTTTTGGTGCTCAGGGTTCTAGGCACGCTTGCCCCAGATGCTCCTGCCAAACAACCCGCCACCTGAAGCTCCTCTCCGTCGCTTGCGTGCGCAACAGTTCAGCGTGAAGCTCCTTTCCATAGCTTTGTTTTCCTATTCCCGGGGGGGGGACCACAAGTCGATTAGTGCATAGTAGTAGTACCAAATCATATGTAATTAGTCATGTTTTAATTTATCTTCTTTTTCGGCTTCTCCTCAACCCTCAGGACACCTCCCATCCCTCGTTCCAATAGCTGGCCCGGGGCTTGTGGTTGAACTCTGATTTGGTTTTTGGTTTCAATTCAGATGTCGGTCTCGATTTCGGTTTCAGGCGGTGAGTTGTGAGATGAATTTGATTTGTGTTCCTCTGCCGTTCCGTGCTTGCTGGAGCGTGTTCTCCCGTTATTCCACCTGATTACCTCCAAAAGCTTCGGCATGCTTTTGTTGGCATCTGGATACTTGCTCAGGAACTCCCCCTCGTCGCAGCCCAACCTCATACACAAGCAATTATTTTCTGGGAGGCTTTTCAAGGATACTGACTGGCGTACCTCACATACTCATCAAATATTGTCTTCCTCTGCATCCGCTTGGCGGCTGTGGCACTGCTGCCCTTGTACCACTCCTCTGGCCAGTCCCTCAAGGTGCGCTTTGTCACTGGATCAACTTCCTCCCACTGCTTGATCGCTCTTTTCCACGCCCCGGGGGTTCTTCCTAGGTCCGGAATTGCGAAATTGAAGCGCCGGAAGGTTGGCGTGATGACGCTGGCAGCCTCAGACATTGCACGCTGGGGTAGAGATGTTTGGGGGCCTTCTTTCCTCACGGCAGCGCCCTCAATTGCATGTGGTAAGGTGTAGGGTGCTGATGCAGCCCTTGATGCTTGCAATTGGGTGTGTGGCGGGCGTTCAGGTCCAACGAGCATGTCTGATATTGGATCTGTAAGACGGTGGGCAGTTGGACCGGAATGACAGGTATGGGAGAATCTTGTTGTGATTGTTCTTGTGAGCTCATCAAATTTGCGATTGACACAGTCTTGTATCTGTCGAACATCTTCACCTGTTGCATGTTGCACTGCAATGTGTTCGCCCATGAAGCTTTGGTCCACTCCAAGGGGAATTGGATGCAGCACGTTGCTGTGCCCCGTCTCGAAGCTCTGCAGTGAGTCAATCAGGTACTTCATCAGTGTGTCGACCTTAACAATCGTTTTTCATGAGTAGCTAAACTGTTGCCCATGACCGAAACTTATGTGCTCTCCAACTGCCCATCCGCCCCACCACCGGATCCAGCTAAGTGGTCACCGCTTCCCGATGGGGGCATACATGAACCTGTATTGAGCGCCGCCACGTCGAAAGCAGTGTGTCGTGTAGTGCTTTTCAAGTCCAGCGGCTGCCGTGAACTTGGTGAGCAAAGTTTGCAGTGAATCATAGCTCATTTCGCGTTTAGGGTGGATCAATCCATTTGGGGCGATGTGGGGGAAAATGTAGTCGTCCTTCTCAACTTTCCAGTTGGGTTGGAGTTTTTGGAGGTATGCCTGCCATTTTGGAAGGTGCGCATGCATGTCTATTGTGAGAACATCTTGGTGATAAATCTCATAGATGTTGCCTAAAACACAGGTTAGATGCCCTCAGGCAATGACCCTCTACAATGCGAGGTAGTACACACTTGTCCGCGGGCCATCATAGCCTTTTGCATGTTGCCACCCTTTTCTGTTCTCGAGCAGAACTTTAAAGTGTGGGATGTAGTGCGGCGATGGCCCCACACAATTGTTCTTGATGTCTTGGTCTTGCAAGGTGAGTAACTCGAAACATCTATCAATTTGAGGTCCTAAGTTTTGAGCAGCATTTTATCAAGACACGAAACCGCACCTAGTCCAAAGTGTAAACGCCGAGCTGATGAATGCTCTCATGAGTGCATGCTCGGCACGAAACTTTAAGGTTGCGAGATCTTCGATGGGCATCGTAAGCATATCATCGGGACACATTGTTTCTGACCACACCATTAGCTTTTGCAGCTCCTCTATCATCATTGCCTCAGCGTGATTTCGGATTGCTGCATGGCCCTTCTCTGCAGACCGTACTTTCACTGCATGCACCACAGCCATGACAGCAGGAGCCCGAGCAGGACACCCAGTTACCCTGCCTGTCTCGTCATCTATTTGGTACACGCCAGCGTATTTTTCCCCATCCCTTTCCCGATAATTAGGTTACAGTTGTATTGATAAAAGAAGGCTGCTTACATTGTATCCCAGTATCTTGCGAAGGCACCGTGAATCCCATCTGCTGTGTCTTTTCCGAGGCCCTGCACAAAGCATTTCTGGACTAGGAACATTTCAACAGCCATGGCCGAAAAACGATTTGGTGGTTTCTCAAATGCCTTCTCAAGCTCGTTTGTTGGGATGCCCTCACTGCAGATGACCTCGCCCCTTGCTTGCCTCTCCTCAACCATACTTGCCAAGAACCTCACTCCTCTGTCCAGATGCCCGCCATAGGCATTACTTGTATTTTTGACTGAGGTCAGTTCCTTCACCTGCACATTTCGGGTTTTCTGGAGTGTTGCAAGTGGTGCCGCCGTAACGTGTGCCTTTTTTGATGCCCGTTGTGGCTTTCTGGTGGCTGAGGGAGACACTTTCGAAGCTGCAATTGCTGCAGCTGCAGTAGCTGCAGATGCCTTTGTATGGTTCCTTGGAGCTATGATAGAGTAGGACGAAATAAAATATATTTCTTGTTCCCTAATGCCCATGTTTCAGCTTACAAGTTCACTGTTAATTACCTCCGAGGTGACCCTGTCGCTAGCCACTTCATTTTGTGGGTCTAATCATAAAATACAATTTCAATCTTCGGAACTATAAATACAATTTATGCTGATACTTCTTGTAGCGAAAAGCCTACGTCAGGTCGATAAAATCACCCATTTTTCTCTTCATGCCCCTTACCATCTCCAAAGATTCTTGAGCGATGACGAGATCATCATCGATGATGATCGGATTTTGAGATGAGCCTGCAACAGCATCCTCATTGATATGAGAGCTTGAGGCACACAGAATAGGACTGGCATCCTTGTCAGTCTGGTGATACAATGTCAGCTACAACATGCAAATGATGATCAACTCTACTTACCGAAGCCTCAGTGGTGCACATGACAGGGCACAAGTATTAGTTACCTTACCCCACTAATACTGAGCCCCCCGACCATACAAACAGACCATAGTTGATGGTGCCTGCTGATGAGCCCATGGATCAGTTGACCCCATCAAAGGTGGACCGGCCATCAAGACTCTCTTAGGACTGGTAATGTGCATCGGCTGAGAAGTGTACCCCATGAATTGACATAGCTAAAAATGCCTTGGATCCTAGGTCAACCGATCTCTTCATGGATTGGGCTCAACATGTGTCATGGGTCAGCTGAAGAGCTCTAAATCCCATGCATTGTGGATCAGCCCACAGCCGTCTCATTTTTATTTGCCAAGTTTACCTCGGCTTTTCATTGCCGGTCATCATGCAGTTTACTGGGTCGGGTCCATCACCTACCAAGAAGCCGAGCACGGTGACATGGTCAGTCAGCTAGTACCCCATGAATTAAATATGCCTTGGATCCTGGGTCAACCCGTCTCTTCATGGAATGGGCTCATGTGTCATGGGTCTGCTGAAGAGCTTTGAATCCCATGCAGCGTGGATCAGCCCAACCTGGTCCCATCCAGTTGACACTATACGGCCGAGTTTCGTCTTCACTCAGGTTTTATTTGCCAAGTTGCTCAAACATTACCTCGGCTTTTCTTTGCCGGTCATGGTCCAGTATTCGGTCATGCAGTTTACTGGGTCCATGACTTCCCAAGAAGCCAAGCATGGTGACGTTCACAAGGCAGTGAAATATATTATGCACACCCCCGGTTCAAAATCCCTACCAAGTTTATACCGACCAATGTTTCTTGTAAACATACCCATGTTGGAACGGGTCTGGCTCAAACAACCGCACTCGGCTGCCTGAAATAAACGCCAAGCTGTTACTATGCCGGTCTCCATTGGACAAAGTTGCTCCAAGATCCCCCCGCTTTCTTACTGCTTTCATTATTATGTCCACCACAGGACTTCATATTAAATATGCCCAAAAAAAAATTGAAGATTGTCCAAAAAATATACATGTATGCTACTAACTATTAAGTAGACGGAGTTTGGACAGTTTGGACATCATTGTTTGTAACTTGCTGGCAGTCAGATTTTTGAATCCTCACCAAGTAGAAGACTTACTCTGTGCGGGGGTTTGAAGTGTGGGTTCGAGTTTCTGTAGCCGAGGTGACTTCCTATTACCCCCAATGTAAGGACCGGGCGAACTTGCCCGGGTTGGAGGAATTGGGTTTGGCGCCAACAGAAGGACCGCTGGGCTCTCAGATGCTGGAGGCAGAAAGACGGCCGGGGTTGGAGAGACTTGCACGTGATCGGTTGAAACTGGGTTTGGCAGAACGACACCCGGGGTCGGGGAGACTTGTACCTGCTGGCTTTTCTGACTGCGGTCGGGTGAGACTGAGCGATCGGTATTGATGCCAGTGTGCTTCTTCTCCTTGTTGCCGAGGAACTGGATAATGAGCGATTCCAGACTTGATTGGCGAGCACCGAGCCGCAGGTTGAGCTCCGAAATAGTAGTGACTGATTTGGTGAGGTCGTGGAGCGTTAGCTCGGCAGTTTCGATGCGGCTTGCAAGTTTCTCAAAGCCCCGGGTGAGACTCTCTTGTAACGCAGCTGGCGTAGTCTCCCACTTGTTCTCCAGTGTCTTGACGGCTTCCCTCACCTCGGCTTCCAGTCTCTGGTGATCACTTCGGATGGACTGCAAATCTTCTTGTGTTT